TTCGTCAGGAGAGGAGCCTGGTGGCACCTTCGTCAGGAGAGGAGCCTAGTAGTACCTTCGTCAGGAGAGAAGCCTGGTGGTACCTTCGTCAGGAGAGAAGCCTGGTGGCACCTTCGTCAGGAGAGGAGCCTAGTAGTACCTTCGTCAGGAGAGGAGCCTGGTGGTACCTTCGTCAGGAGAGGAGCCTGGTGGCACCTTCGTCAGGAGAGGAGCCTAGTAGTACCTTCGTCAGGAGAGGAGCCTGGTGGCACCTTCGTCATGACATAATACAGTATCTCCTGACAGAGATATTAATCACATGCTGACACTCTCAGTGTTAAGCATCTACTGGTCTACATCACTCACACCTTCAACCTTACTTAAAATACCAGGAATCAGTACACAGTGCAGTTTAAGATAACGTCTTTACGGGTATCGTAAAATAACAAGTGATCCTGTGTTTGTGCTGTGAGGCAGTCAAACTGTTTGGCAACTTAGGCTCTCGATTAAGAGTTTTATTCACTTAATTTTCTCCTTTTTTTCACTATAAATAATAATTATTTTACTATTGTAACTACAAGTATCCAACCCACTGAAAAAAAAATTCTTAGTATTGTGGTGAGTAATTCTTGATCATTGGCTTGCTTCTTCGTTATCGACTCTTAAATGTAACGTACCTTAGGTGAGGTAAATATAGAATAGAAATGTAACGGACGCTTATAAATAATCATCTATTTATTTAGGAGTTACATTAATTTCACGAAAAAACAAAACAATCGTCGCTCACTGACAAAAATCACTCTCTTACTTCACCAAAAGTGGCCAGATAACTCTACTTGCCTTTCCCTTCCTGTTTACCTACTGATTTTCCACTGCTTAAATCTACCGTAGGCCTATCATTTCTCCGCATCTTCCTTATGACTAAATAAAACGAAATCGCAATAACATGAACAAAATAACTTCATTTTCATCCACATTAGGAACAGACGATTATATTCTGACCTTCGTCTGTATGATACTGGAGCAGCAGCTATGGTTACCTAGTACTATTATCATGATACTGGAACAAGAACTATGGTTACCTAGTACTACCATCATGATACTGGAACAAGAACTATGGTTACCTAGTACTACCATCATGATACTGGAACAGAACTATGGTTACCTAGTACTACCGTCATACATGAGGCATTTCCTGTCATACATTTTACGACTGGGTGTCCCTTAGCTCGGCTGGTAGCGCACTTAGCTCATACAATAACTGTACGTGGTTCGATCAACGGTACGGGTGAGAACACTACTGGGTATTTCCCTAAAACCCCTGCTGCCCTTGTTTACTCACTGGTGAAGGTCGCAACCTGGGGTCAAAATTAACCTTAGTTACAGGAAATGTTCTGGGGTAACCAGAGGTTTTCTATATAGTATGCCATTAATGTCAGCTATGGTCTGTATAAGTTGTATCATGTACTATAGAAATAGTATAAAAGATGGTGGAGAGTGTCCAGCAGACCTTCAGTGTCCAGCAGACCTTCAGTGCCCAGCAGACCTTCAGTGTCCAGCAGACCTTCAGTGTCCAGCATACCTTCAGTGTCCAGCATACCTTCAGTGTCCAGCATACCTTCAGTGTCCAGCAGACCTTCAGTGTCCAGCAGACCTTCAGTGTCCAGCAGACCTTCAGTGTCCAGCAGACCTTCAGTGTCCAGCATACCTTCAGTGTCCAGCATACCTTCAGTGTCCAGCAGACCTTAAGTGTCCAGCAGACCTTCAATGTCCAGCATACCTTCAGTCTCCAGCAGACCTTCAGTGTCCAGCAGACCTTCAGTGTCCAGCATACCTTCAGTGTCCAGCATACCTTCAGTGTCCAGCAGACCTTCAGTGTCCAGCAGACCTTCAGTGTCCAGCAGACTTTCCGTGTCCAGCAGATTCTCAGTTTCCAGCAGACCTTCAGTGTCCAGCATACCTTCAGTGTCCAGCAGACCTTCAGTGTCCAGCATACCTTCAGTGTCCAGCAGACCTTCAGTGCCCAGCAGACCTTCAGTGTCCAGCAGACCTTCAGTGCCCAGCAGACCTTAAGTGTCCAGCAGATCTTAAGTGTCCAGCAGACCTTCAGTGTCCGGCAGACCTTCAGTGTCCAGCATACCTTCAGTGTCCAGCAGACTTTATCAGCAGGAAGCTTCAAGCAGACGTCTTCAACTTTCGAAGCAACGCACGTCCATTACCTGCGGTCTACCTGGAGGGTATTCCGGGGATCAACGCCCTCGCGGCCTGGTCCATGACCAGGCCTCTCGGTGGATCAGGGCCTGATAAACTAGGTTGTTACTGCTGGCCGCACGGAGTCCAATGTACAAACCACAGCCTGGCTAATCCGGCACTGACTTTAGGCATTTGTCCAGCTCTCTTTTGAAGACAACCAGGGGTCTATTGATAATTCCCCTTATGGTTGGTGGGAAGCTGTTGAACAGTCTTGTTACCCGGACACTTATTATGTTTTCTCTTAGTGCACTAATGGCGCCACTACTTTTCACTGAGAGTATGTTGCATCCCCTGCCAAGTCTTTTGCTTTCGTAGGGAGTAATTTCTGCGTGCAGATTAGTGACCAGTCCCTCCAGGATCTTCCAAGTGTAGATTATAATGTATCTCTCTCGCCTGCGCTCCAGTGAGAACAAGTCAATCAGTTTTATGTAACGACACAGCAGGTAGTTTTGAAGTGTATCTCTCCTGACTTGTATATTAAGAGCAGCAATATACAAAGAGATGTATATATATATATATATATATATATATATATATATATATATATATATATATATATTATATATATATATATATATATATATATATATATATATATATATATTAGTTTTATATAGTTAAAGTTTCATTGACTGGTAGTGCACTGTTGACATGGGTCTTAATGACCCTCGTGTAGGCCTAAAGACCCTCGTGTAGGCCTAATGAACCTCGTGTAGGCTTTAAATCTTATCAAACAACCCATCTTAATGACACACTACATAGTATTCAGTAATACCAGAATCAAAGCTCACTATGGGATTCCACCAAGATCCTGCAGCCTGGCAACCCATTCAACTCAACACTCTACCGTCTGACTCATTCAAGTATAAAGCAGTATGATACGAAAGTCAACCTGTGGAATGGAGTATGACAGGAAAGTCAACCTGTGGGATGGAGTATGACAGGAAAGTCAACCTGTGGGATGAAGTATGATAGGAAATTCAACCTGTGGGATGAAGTATGACAGGAAAGGCAACCTGTGGGATGGAGTATGACAGGAAAGTCAACCTGTGGGATGAAGTATGACAGGAAAGTCAACCTGTAGGATGAAGTATGACAGGAAAGTCAACCTGTGGGATGGAGTATGACAGGAAAGTCAACCTGTGCGATGGAGTATGACAGGAAAGTCAACCTGTGGGATGGAGTATGACAGGAAAGGCAACCTGTGGGATGAAGTATGACAGGAAAGGCAACCTGTGGGATGGAGTATGACAGGATTGTCATCCTGGGGGATGGAGTATGACAGGATTGTCATCCTGGGGGATGGAGTATGACAGGATTGTCTTCCTGGGGGATGGAGTATGACAGGATTGTCATCCTGGGGGATGGAGTATGACAGGAAAGGCAACCTGTGGGATGGGGTATGACAGGAAAGGCAACCTGTGGGATGGGGTATGACAGGAAAGGCAACCTGTGGGATGGAGTATGACAGGAAAGGCAACCTGTGGGATGGAGTATGACAGGAAAGGCAACCTGTGGGATGGAGTATGACAGGAAAGGCAACCTGTGGGATGGAGTATGACAGGAAAGGCAACCTGTGGGATGGAGTATGACAGGAAAGGCAACCTGTGGGATGGAGTATGACAGGAAAGTCAACTTGGGGGATGGAGTATGACAGGAATGTCAACCTGGGGGATGGAGTATGACAGGAAAGGCAACCTGGGGGATGGAGTATGACAGGAAAGGCAACCTGGGGGATGGAGTATGACAGGAAAGTCAACTTGGGGGATGGAGTATGACAGGAATGTCAACCTGGGGGATGGAGTATGACAGGAAAGGCAACCTGTGGGATGGAGTATGACAGGAAAGTCAACCTGTGGGATGGAGTATGACAGGAAAGTCAACCTGTGGGATGAAGTATGACAGGAAAGTCAACCTGTGGGATGCAGTATGACAGGAAAGTCAACCTGTGGGATGGAGTATGACAGGAAAGTCAACCTGTGGGATGAAGTATGACAGGAAAGTCAACCTGTGGGATGGAGTATGACAGGAAAGGCAACCTGTGGGATGGAGTATGACAGGAAAGTCAACCTGTGGGATGAAGTATGACAGGAAAGTCAACCTGTGGGATGAAGTATGACAGGAAAGTCAACCTGTGGAATGGAGTATGAGAGCAATGTCATTCTGGGGGATGGAGTATAACAGGAATGTCATCCTGGGGGATGGAGTATGGCAGGAGAGACATCCTGGGGGATGGAGTATGGCAGGAGAGACATCCTGGGGGATGGAGTTTGACATGAATGTCATCCTGGGGGATGGAGTATGACAGGAATGTCATCCTGGGGATGGAGTATGACAGGAATGTCATCCTGGGGGATGGAGTATGACAGGAATGTCATCCTGGGGGATGGAGTATGACAGGAATGTCATCCTGGGGGATGGAGTATGACAGGAATGTCATCCTGGGGGATGGAGTATGAGAGGCATGTCATTCTGGGGGATGAAGCATGACAGGAATGTCATCCTGTGGGATGGAGTATGACAAGAATGTCATCCTGTGGGATGGAGTATGACAGGAAAGTCAACTTGTGTGATGGAGTATGACAGGAAAGTCAACCTGGGGGATGGAGTATGACAGGAATGTCAACTTGTGTGATGGAGTATGACAGGAAAGTCAACCTGGGGGATGGAGTATGACAGGAATGTCATCCTGGGGGATGGAGTATGACAAGAACAGCAACTCACTCTGAGAATTTAATTAATAAAACTGGTGTTGTGTCTCTTTGCAGTAAGCCGTGACAATGCCTCGCTACGCCTACCAGAAGCCTAGAAACAGGCTGTACAGCTACGACTGCTACAAGCCGCCTCTCACCCTCTACTTCGACAAGGAATCCTCCACTAAGGAAAAGCCTGGCGACCAGTCCTTTGTGGAGGTGAGAATCCCCAGTTAAGCCTAGCCTAGCTTAGCCAAGCCTAGCCTAACTAGTCTAGTCTAGCCAGCCTAGCCTAACTAGTCTAGTCTAGCCAGCCTAGCCTAGCCTACTCTATTCTTTTCCTGATAAGGACCTGCCTTGTATGGGCCAGTAGGCTTTCTGCAGTGTTCCTCCATTCTTATGTTCTTAGCTTGGTGCATGTTAGATTCCCCTTTCATGACTCCACGAAATCGTAATAACGGGATTGTAAATAGACCAGACTTGGTCTGGAGTTTTAGGTCTTACTCGCCATGGGCTCAAACTCACGCGTTTCGTGGTTGCTTCCGCTTTATCAAAATTTATGCTTGATTCACAATTCATCATGTTCATTATGGTGGCTTCTTAGTAAATCTATTATAATTTACTGAAATAATCTGTCAGCAATTGAGGTCAGGATTACTGGGTGGTACTTTGATGATAGGGACTTATCCCCTCCTTTAAAAATAGGTATTACAATAATTATCATCCACGACACCACACCTGTTTGATGAAACAAATTAAATTGGTTAGCCAATGGTTCATGTGAGAAATTATGTGTATGGAGTTTACAGGCATAATCCTGAATTATTATGCACATAATTATGGGAAGACACATCTAAAACTTACATAACACTTATTGATATTAGTTGTACCTAGGAGATGGTAGGATTTTTAGGGACAATGGGGCACAAGAGCATTCCTCCGGCGATACTCACACACTCATCCCACACTCACAGTTAGTTATGAATTATTAGATTTAAACCTGCATCACTGGTAAATTATGTTTGTGGACTGTATATGGATTTTTAATGACCTGACTTTAATATTTAGTGGTTTGGTTTATTGGTTCACAAAATATACATATTTATAGAATTCAGTAACATCACAATAAACATTCTCTCTCTGTATATATATATATATATATATATATATATATATATATATATATATATATATATATATATATATATATATATATATATATCAAAGAGATGGTAAATCCAGTACTCGGTGAATCTGCATCAATTCTTCTCACCGAGTTAACAACTTTCGTCAACAATTGCCTGGCTGAGCGAATCCCAGAAGAAATTAAACCTTTCTTTTTCGGAGCCTCACTATGTGCTTTGAAGAAGAGGGATGGGGGAATCAGACCCATTGCAGTTGGAAACACCCTTCGCCGTCTCTTTGCCAAAGCAGCAGTGAGAAACATTCGCCTGGAAGCTGCCACTTTACTCCAGCCACACCAACTGGGCTTTGGGGTCTCTCAAGGCAGTGAAGCTGCAGCTCATGCCGCAAGGGCCTACATCAGGGACCTACCAGAAGACAAGGCCATAGTCAAACTTGATTTCAGAAATGCCTTTAATATGGTGAAGAGAGATGCTGTTTTGCCAGCTGTTCGGGATCGGTTCCCAAGTCTTTTTCCCTTCATTTCAGCCGGCTACAGCAAACCCTCAATTCTTTTGTTTGGAGAACATGAAATTCAATCATCAGAGGGTGTTCAACAGGGTGACCCACTCGCTCCACTTCTCTTCTGCTTGGCAGTAAGAGAACTAATTTCCAGCCTACGCAGTGAGCTCAATATCTGGTACCTGGATGACGGCACTCTGGCAGGTACTGAAGAGTCCCTGGTGGGGGACCTACAACTGGTGAAAACACAGGGAGAAGACTTGGGACTCATCCTCAATCCATCCAAGTGTGAAATCATCACAGCGAACCAGGAAATAATCAATGTTGTGCGAAGAATCCTCCCGGAAGTCTCAACTACCACTCCGTCCTACAGTACCCTCTTGGGGGCACCGCTGGGTCACCAGGCCATCGACACTGTCCTCAGGGACAAATTGAATGACCTGATGAGAATGGAGGAGAGAATAAGCGATCTTGATGCCCATGATGCTCTGTATCTCCTCACAAGGTGTCTTACTATGCCAAGACTCACTTACTTCTTGAGGTGTGCACCCTCTTTTGACAACCCAACACTCGATGAATATGACGCACACCTGAGATCAACTTTTAAGAAGGCACTGAACCTGTCACAATGGGATCAGGCAACCCTCCCAGTGCGACTTGGAGGTATAAGGGTGCGTAAAGCATCGCATGTTGCTTTACCTGCTTTTCTGTCTTCGTGTTTGGCTTCCAGTGCATTAGTCAAGAAGATAGTTCCCGAACGCTTGAGAGACGTGGTAGGAGCTCAAGACCCCAGGTTTACTGAAGCAGCGATTCGGTGGGACACCCTTACAGACTCCTCCAATAGACCAGCTCCTCCCAAACAGCACAAACAGTCCCACTGGGACAAACCGATCATGGAAAAAATCGCCAACACAATGCTCTCCAATGCTTCAGGAAAGGACAAAGCTCGTCTCCTGGCAGTGAAGGCACCACACTCAGGATATTTCCTGTTAGCTGTATAATGAGTTTTTTATTGACAACTTTTGGCCCACTGAGTGGGCTTTATCAAGTTTTCAACTCTCGGTTTCTCGATAAAACCCAGTTTGCGGGCGAAGCGTTGTCCACAGGGCACGGGTACTCACCCTGTTTACTATTGCATACCACCTATGAATTGCCCAATATATGTCCCTATACCTCTTCCCCCTTCACCAGACCGTGGCAGTCACCATCATCACCACCAGTCACATTAGATACCAGCATGACTTCAAAAGATATCAATAGCTTGGTTCTGTTTTACATATAGATAGCTAGCAACATAACAGCTGATAGTTTGTTATAATCTATTCCCCATTATATACCCCTATTGTATGGCTCCCATACCCCATTATATGGTTTCCATGCCCCATTATATGGCTCCCATACTCCCATGCGTATGTATACCCCAGGTAAGAACCCCTTATATTGCATTTGCGTTTTTTCAGGAGGTTACGCAGACCATTAAACGTTCAGTAGCTGTCATTACCAAGTTCTTCACCACGACGTAGACGCATCACAATACATTTATTTAATATTTATTTTAATCCAGGAATATTAAAACATCTTTGAGTGTTGGTGTACAGGTAACATGCAGTCTTAATGAGCATCGTGTAGGAGATAAGCTTGAAACCTAAGCTAACAACCTATGTAAATCTTTTTCAGGTTCTTGATCCCAAGTTCAGACTTCCCAGTGCTTCTTGGCTATAACGTGTATGCATTATTTTGCTACTGCATTTCAGGCAGAAGATATGTATATATATGTATATATATATATATATATATATATATATATATATATATATATATATATATATATATATATATATATATATATATATATATATATATATACACACACACTCTAAGAAGAAATCATGTCCCTGTGTGCTAATTTATAAGTAAGTGTGATTGATAATGTGAAATGACGGTGTGTACACTCTGGTAGGTGTGGTTGATAGTGCATGAGGACGGTGTATCGACACCCTAGCACGCTCCAGCAGGTTCATCGAGGCTAAAAGACGCTACCCACCACGAGGAACTGCCCAAAATAGATTTATCTACTTACCACTTTGATTGATCATTATAATTCCCGTCGATCAGACTAGTCAGACATGATAGTTCGCATCTACTCCGTCAACGGGGGATAATAGTGGTCACCTACTCCTCCTTTCACGAATCTTAGTGCCATGTACCCCTACAACTGTACATATTAGAGCCATATACCCGTCCAACTGGGCATGTTAGTGCCATCTACCCCTCCAACTGGGCATATTAGCACCATCTACCCCTTCAATTAGCATGACATTACCATCTGCCCACCCAGCTGGAGATAACGGTACCATCTGCCCCTCCAGCTGGACATAACAGCACCATCTGCCCTTCCAGCTGGTCCTGCATTACTTAAGCTCACATATTTTCTTCTTAGACGGAGAGTCTGGCGCAGTAAACACAGTCTTTGATAGTCATTCATCATACATTATAAACCATACCCCCGGCCGGGATTGAACCCGCGGTCATAGAGTCTCAAAACTCCAGCCCGTTCAATCCCGGCCGGGGGTATGGTTTATTTGCAATCGTGTCATTACGATTTCTTGAGTCATCATACATTATATCCAGTATACATAATATTCATTATATATTATATCCATTATACATAATATTCATTATACAGTATATCCAGTATACATAATATTCATTATACATTATATCCAGTATACATAATATTCATTATATATTATATCCATTATACATAAAGATTCATTATACAGTATATCCAGTATACATAATATTCATTATACATTATATCCATTATACATAATATTCATTATACAGTATATCCATTATACATAATATTCATTATACATTATATCCATTATACATAATATTCATTATACATTTTATTCATTATACATAATATTCATTATACATTATATTCATTATACATAATATTATTTTCATTAGATACGTAGATGTTATAACAATTTAATTAGTTTCTTCAGCTCCTGGTGTAACTTAGACGGATTTATTACAAGTAATTTATACAGTATAATAAATAACAATATCTGTTTTAAATGTTCATTAATAATAACCAAATTATTATTATCATAATGATAATCACATTTTACTCATTATTAATAATTCATATATAATAAATGATAATTATATAAAAAAACGTGTATTAAGAAGAATATTAATTATTATTTCCCATTAAATATTATTATTATTATTATTATTATTATTATTATTATTATTATTATTATTATTATTATTATTATTATTATTATTATTATCATTATTATTATTATTATTATTATTATTATTTTATTATTATTATTATTATTATTATTATTATTATTATTATTATTATTATTATTATTATTATTTAAAATATACGGAACTCACAGAATATTTCATATTTCCGGCCAAGTCGAGATTCACTTTAGGTCGTTCAGTGTTGACGACACTTTAGTCACCAGTTATTAACGACATTTATATTTGCTCACCTAGCGTGGCTAAGTGGTGACACATGTGAGAGGGTCACAGCTACGTGGTGACACTTG